ACCCAGGCCTCCGCGACCCCACCCTCTCCGTCCCCGGGGAGCCTGCAGACCCCCGCCCTGCAGCGACCCAGCCCTGCACCTGCCGCTTTCCCTTCACTGCGGGGAGTCTCGCTGCAGCCGGAAGCAGTGGCCGCCGCAGTGCCACCCCCTACTTTTGGACGATGGCTGTAACTGCCAGGCTTCTGCTGTTTCCGGGGCTTTTGGGATGAAGCGTCCAGCTAAGGGGTGTGGGACTGTCCCTGTCACAGCACTGACCCCCCCGCCCCCGTCACTGCAGCTCCTGGAAGAGACAGCCCTGCTTGTGGGCAGTTTTCCTGCGTTTGACAGCGTCCCTGTAGCCCCCTAGGGTCTTCTGTGAGACCTCTCCCGGAGCTGTCTGTTTAGAGGTCACCCACGCGAGCTCGATTCCACGGTCCAGGCCCTGATTCTGCAGAGGCCTTGAGGGAGCCAAGGGTGGGGTGGCCCGTGGGGAGCGGACTCTCCCGCCACACCCTGGGTTCTCACCCTGCCCATTAACGCTGTGGTTCCACATGGGCCCCAGGGGACCCGGAGCCTGAGTGAGCACCTGAGCCCTCAACCCCAAGCCTCGGCTTGTTCAAACCACTTAGCATGACAGCCATTGCTTGCCCTTTCTCCCCAAAAGCTCTGGGGTGAACACGCACACGCGGGGCCCAGCCACTGTTGCATCCACTGGGTCACAGGTGTTTCCCGTGAGTCGCAGCTCTGCCATTTCCCAGGGGGCCACTGGCTCCTCTCCTTATTTTTCTGCAAAACCCACCTCAGCCTCAACCTGGGAGAAACGGTGGTTGGGTGATGGCCCCTTCCAGGTGACCCAGGTCCTCAAGCAGGATGAGCGCTGCCCCTGGGGACCCCATCGACGTCCAGGCAGAGGCCACCTCCCCCATGTGCCTTGGGCTCAGCCCCTTCTGCAAATGAACCAAGAGCTACAGTGACCCTCAGGTCCAACGTGAGGCTGCAGAGTCTCAAAGACAGAAATGGAAGGAGAGTCAGGCCTGGGGGAGCACGCCTGTGCTTCCTTGGGAGGCTGAGGCCAGAGGATTGCTGAGTGGGAGTCCAGCCTGGGCTACATGGCGAGACCCTGTCTCAAAAAGCAAAACAAAAGACATGGAAGAAGAGGCTCCTGCCCTGGGCCTGAGGACAGCCTGGGAGTAAGGCAGTGTCCCTGGTGGGCCCGGAGAGCAGGTGGAGAAGTCTGTCTCAGACCAAGCCAGGGCAGCCACTCAGCGGAGGCACCCCGGGGCCACAGTGCAGGCTGAGGCAGAGAAGGGGCTCCAGGCCCAGCGGAAGGCACTCTGGGGGAAGGAGGGATGGCAGGGCGGCGGCTGAGGGCGGCAGGGAAGGAACAGCACAGCCCCGAGGGTCCAGAAGTGGAGAGCGATCTGAGCAGCCTCGGGGGTGTGTGGGGCTGGTGTGCTCCTGAGCGAGAGGGCCTCCTGCGAAGGCAGAGGAAACGCCTGAGGCTGAGAGGAGCGCGTCAGGGAGGGGCGGTGGAGCAGCGGCCGCTGTGAAGCTCTGCCAGGGGCAGGGGCAGGATGGGAGTGGGGAAGTCAGTGAGCCCAAAGAGCGTGTAGTATACACACAGCAAAGAACAAAATAAAAAGGCACATCATCCAAAGAAATTGGGAGCCAGAGCCCCTGTAAACGGGAAGGGCACCAAGAGATGGAGGGAGGGGAGCCAGGGGAGGGACGGGGATGAAGAAAAAGTTAGAATGTGTTGTAGAAAAGCAGTCTGGTAAGGGCCAGGGATTTGCAGAGGTGGTGCCTCCACCTGCCTCAAAAGCACAAGGTCCAAAGTTCGATCCCCGGTACCGAAAAGAAAAGATACAAGGGTATCAATAAGAAAAACAGCCTGTTGGTGCACACTTGTAATCCCAGCACTCGGGAGGCTGAAGCAGGAGTATTGCCATGAATTCAAGGCCAGTCTGGGCTACATAGTGTGTTTAAGGCAGCCTGGGCTACACAGTGAGACCCTGTCCCCCCAAAAAAATAAAATTCAGAAGTGTGTTAT